TAGTACAATGCCTGGCACATAGTATGCACTTAGCAAATATTTACTGACTGACTAAGTGACTAAGAAAGAAACAGTGCAAACCAGTTGACCAAACATGGAGTGTAATATAGGAGGAAGGCAGAGGAAGAAGGTCAGTTGGGAGGGACCATAACTGCAGGAAAAGGGTTAATGTATAACAATGCTAGAAAGTGAGGTCACAGCCAGATTTGGAAGAGCTTAAAGGCCAAAGAGAAAAATTTATATTTAATCTCAGAGGTAATTGGAAGCCACTGGAATTTATTGAATAGATGAGTGGATTGCCTTGGGAAAAGACAGTGGGTTCCTCATCCCTAGTAGTCTTTAGGTGAAGGCTAAATAACTATTTGTCAGTAGTGCTATAAAAAAGGATTTACTCTTTGGGAAGAAGTTAGACTAAGGCCCTTACAATTCTGCATTTCTATGATTTGAAGTGCCTCATTTTGACAATGAAAAAATGACCTATGTGTGCTATATTAATCATTTTAATGAAAGACAAGGAAAATTTCGCATTTAATTATTGACGTTGGAATAAAGAGATGGTTCACTATTTGGGGATGCTATAATAATGAAAAAAAAATTGTAACTGAAAATATAAAGGTTACTGTTATTCTTACCACAGTCCCCATCTTACTTTGAACCAAACCCACCCTGTCATCACTGTCTGGACTAGTAGTTAATAGAGATAAGGTAAAGGAACAGTATAGACTACTAATTATCTTACCCTGTACTCTGTGCAGTGATTGTTGTCACTGCTGTTGTTGTTATCACTGTAAGCCCTCCTCATTCCTACCACACTGGCCCTGTTCATGTCATGGTTATGTCAACTACTAGAAGAGGGCAAATAAACAATCATTTACCTCTGCATCACATTAGGCTGTCCATTTAGCTATGCAGTTTTCTTTATGGTTAAAGAGGAGTTGTGCAGTACTATCCAGTTATGAGAGAGAAATAATGATAGTAAAACCTCATTCAGAAAAGACTCTAGTGGGGGAGAGTGGAACAAAAGAGGAGAACAAGGGGATACGTGTTCCTGACATTTAAGATAATATGGCGTATTTTACCTGGGTCACTGTTTCACTTATTTTAAGGGATCAAGCCCTAACTCCAGGGCTGTTGTTAGCCATTTCTTCTCAGGGTCACATGTTACAGGCTTGCAGCATGTCCCATTCCAAAGCAATGAATGAAATCTCTTCTATACAAAGCAAATCTTATGCTTTTCTTTTTCCACCTTTATTGCTTTGAAGTGATTTATATTCCTACCCAACCACCACTAAATCCTAACACAGATGTATGAAACAATTTTCAGATTACATAATGGGTTATTTACTCTAAACCAATGAATATATTTTGTGCTGTAGGGCATAATCAAAAAGTTTCTAGATCTGTTCAAGTAGCTACATATGCAAACAGGTATTGCCAATGGGTTTTTGTGCTTAGAAGTACTTTAGAAAATGTTTATAACATCTTTGCTGTACATATGTTCCTAAATAATCTTTAAACAAACAAACAAGTAGCCTGTAGAAAGATTAGAAGAATTAGCCATCTATATAGCCCTCAAAAGAAATGGTACTTAACATATGGCTGGTGTTGCATTTATATTGCAGTAACTAGCACAGTATCTTGAATTTAGTAGATACATCATAAATATTTGTAGAACAATTAATGGGGGGGGATTTTTTTTTCCTGTTGGGATGTTTATTGGTCATATGAAAAGAAAATTTATTGAGGTTAGTACCAGAATGAAAATGGTTTTGCTGAAGAACACGCATTTTTTCTCTTGTTAGATAGTCACTGAAAACACTGTGTATCCTCTGTTAGATGACAGCAATCTTACAGTCAAATGCAGCGTCCTTTTGGTACTAGTTGACTCATCTCAGATACCTACTGTCATCTACTCCTTTTTAAAAAAATGCTACAAGTATTTATAATTCAAGGCACCCTGTTTAAGAGGATTCTATTCTATTTTATTTTATCCCTATATGTCTTATTTTGCATTATGTTTCAATTAGTAAGCCACATCAAAATCTCTTGAAATATGGTGGGGTAACATCTTACATGTTACCCTTAAGTACCCTTAAGTAATATTTGCCCATATAAGTCAGATTGCTAATGAAATCAAGTATAGAAAACTGTCATTACTCCATTAAGCAAACTGTTTTTGTAAATATAGGTTGGTTGTTATATGTCTAAACATAGCGGATAAGGTAATTATACTGAAAGCCATTTCATGAACCAAAGATATGTCTAAGAGGGAAGGAATCAGGTCTAAGTCCCAAATCTCCCACTAATTCTGTGTGTATTGTTGGGCAAATCACTTGACATCCCTCTGATATGTATTTCCCACCTGTATACTAGAGATAATTAAACTGTCTTGTCTAATGAGGTTGTTGGGAGGGTACAAGTAGGTAATGGATATAAGAGCACTTTGAAAGATAAATGACTATACATATTCCATGTCATCTATTCATATATTTCCCCCAGATTCCCCCAAGCTGATTACCTGATCATATATATTTTCTTTAGCCATGAGAAATTTGCTGCAGATCATTTGAGCTACTGATACCTCCCTCAGTAATCTTTATGTCACAGTAGGCCATCAAACACTTTCCACTATCCTTTTAGGTTTACTCATTTAGTTCAAGAGCTGCTCATTCCACCCTCTAACCAGCATCCCTAAAGGAATATGTAATAGGCAGAGTGCTAGACTGTTGAGGGGAAAGGCATAAAATGCTATGCATAGATGGATAAGACTGGCATATGATGATAGGACCATGGCAGGCAAGAACAATATTAATGTAAAACAAAATTCTTTTAAGTTGCTGAGAAATCTGGCTGGAGATGGGCGAGAGTTGAAAGAAAAGAGTTTATGTAAAAGAAAAATTAGTTGACATGAGTTAATTATGGATTAATTATTTTAAATGACTTAGTACCTCTTATGAAAACTAAATGAGAGATACAGTCATGATACATGGAAATGAAACAAATTCATCCCATGAAATATATGAATTATGGATGATTAGTACTTATTTTACTCTAAGTAAAATTTGTAGAATATATACATATACATGTGTATGTAATTCATATTTAACTCATCAATTAATTTTTTACATGAACATTTTATTTTTCATTTATGTTATCAGTAACTACCCTGGCCGGATTTCTTAGCAATTTTTAAATATTCACTAAAAATGCCACTCTAAAGCAACTGTAAGGGGAATTTTCCAATGTGATCTCTGTTCCACACTCCCAAGTTATTTTACAGAGTTGACCAGATGGACACATGTTCAGTTCTAATCTATGGTTCCAAGATCCTCTGAGTACCTCCAAAGTAGAAAGCATTAAGTGGAAAACTTTCTGACAAATCCTAGCAACATAATAGGTAAAACTGGACTTTCTTTTATAAAGTAAAGCAATATCCTTTTGTCTTAACTTTTATGCTAATTGCTTATTTTCTTTCTAAAAATAAGGCATTCCATTTTATGGGTGATTGTTTTTAATCTAATCATCCATAAGAAGGGTCATTCACCTGGGAGGGGCAGTGTATTTTTATTTTCAGTAACACCTACCTGAAATTTAGCATTTCCTTCAATTGTGAATATAAGCAACCAAACATTATTCTGAGAAAGGTCTATAGGCCTCAAGGATCCATGACACAAAAAAAAGGTTAAGAATCTTTGGTCTATAAAATCCAGGGAGCCATATAAAACTATCTTTGAATCATAAAAATTCCCAATTTTCTTACCTACTTGCTCCTTTTCTCAATTTAGCAGGTTTTCTACATCACACTCCAGCAAGATGCAATGCTATTACATGTGCTTTAGATTTCTAAATATGTTTGTGAAATAATCAGGAAGCATGAAATTCTGAGGCAAATATTTTGAGTCATTTTCAGAAGATGATTTTTATTTCCTTCTTCTTTTAAATGTTAATTATTTACACCCATCAGCAACATAGCTAATTATTCACTATTTTTGTACAACAGAATTTCTCACCTGTATAATCCACAATTAAATGTAAATTGGAAGTGGAGGCTGCACTGATGAATGCCACAAGATCATGATTGTAAGGAAAAATATAAACACAATGTAGTGTAATTACGTCAATCAAAAGAAGAGGAGGCTGAAAAGTCTCTGTCTTACTAGCAAGCATTCCTTCCCAGTGTGCTCATCTCCTTGGTGATGCCTACTAAAAAGTGCTCAATACAGAATAACAGTAACAATCTCAAAGTCCTTTATGCAGATTTTTTGTTTGAGGAGGTGGAATATTTTAGCATCTAGAACATTAGAAAGCATGCCTTTTTCTTCGGTCTTATTGCCTATTTGTTTGACTTCCTTTCAGAAACTTAACCTTTCTGTATAGTCAACTCACCAGTATTCATGAATTGATCCTCTAGTTTGTGTTTTATCCAAGATTGCTCATCTTCCTCCTTCTTACTTTTCTTGTAAGTCATTAAATGGATAATTAGGAAGTGAATCAGTTATATCTAATAATCATCTACTAAGAAATCTGATTGGCAATTATTTTTTATATAACTTTTCAAAATCTTTATTACTTTGTAGTCAATGTCAGAATCTTTCCAATATTAAAAAAATCTTATATTTCTTTTTCCTCTTCTTTTTGATTAAAATAATCATGATTTTTAACCATAAGAATATTCACATCTGAAATTTAAAAGTTGCTTACCTTTTATTGAATGTTGCCTATATTCCCTACTTGCTATTTATCAATGAAAGCAAAGGCACTTCTATATAATTTCACAAAAGCAAAATTAACTATATTTAAAGCTTACTAAGGCTTAGGTAAGGGATGTGTGTGTGTGTGTGTGTGTGTGTGTGTGCTTTTATGTGTGTGTAGCAGCCCCAGCAGCAGTTATAGTAGTATTGGGACTAGCAATGGTTGTGGTTGTAGTGCTAGTAAGTAGACTGTGGTAGTGGTGAAATGAAGGATCATTTACCTTTCTTTCTTTTTTATCGTTCTAGCAGGTAGCTTAACCCCTTGCCTTTATAAGTTTCCTGACCACGCCTTAAGTCATGGTTTTCCTCCCATGCATCAGCCTCTTCTGGGAGATGACCCTACAGCCATTGACTTTAAGCAAGAATTCCATCGAAAAAGCAAATCTGTTGAAGAACCAACTGACATGGATTCTCCTGAAATCCAAGAACTAGAAAAGTTTGCCAATGAATTCAAATTGAGAAGAATTAAATTAGGTATGTATTTGCTATGAACCATAGTCATGTCTTGCTCTGGGTCTCATAGAGTTCTATTAAATTTAAATATCCATACATAAGTGAGCAAGGCCAGGGAATGTAATTCTTACGATCCTAAGTGGGTTAAAGAGTTAACCAAACCCTCTTTCTGCCTGCCATCTTTCAGTGTCACCATCATGGTACACACATGAATGTCTTGACTGATTCAGCTCTAAAAAAGCACTAACAATGCAGAGAAGAAATGAAAATGCCAGGTTCTCAATAGGCTGTATATACTCTAAAAGAATTTCCTGATTCTTGTCTGTGATGATGAAACATGCCAAAATATGGGCAAATTTGAGATCATTAATGATTATAGAGCAGGAAATATTGTTGTGAATCTCACGGGCAGATTAAACAAATGTTGTGTAATGAACCCTAGAGTTGATTTTCAATGGAAAGATCTGGAAAATTGTTGCAAAAATATGCTACCATCCTGATCGTTTGGGTTCATTGTGCTTATGACAGCATGATCATAAAGATGTAAAAAAAAAATGTAAGAGGAAAAATTCTGGAATGCTCTTTCTAAGGGAAGGAAACATGCAAACAAAAAAAAAAAGCTCCAATGTGGGGGAGGGATAAATAAACCATGTAAATCCTAGTAAAGATCTTACATGCTGACATTTTTCTGGTAGTCTAAGTTTAAAGTTGTTTAAAATGCCAACATTCTTTCCTGCTTTTCTCACCTGGAGATTCATTGGGGGAGGGAGAGAGTTACAACTATGCCAACATTTTAATTCTAAAAGTAGCTATAACAGTTTGCAATTGCTTAAAATGTAGACTTTTCAAAATAGAAAAAAAAGATTATCCATATCATCATAATGGTTGTTCATATTCTAGAATATTACTCTCATCTTTGAATGGATAGTAATTCATTTCATGTTGACATTCATTGTAGTGAATCATAAGAATTCAATTTTTTGCCTTAGGCACAAAAATATTATGTAATTACAGAGAATTGTGAATATAAACAGCAGCTGGCATAACAATATAGAATTTCAGTTTTCTGTTTATATTAACTGCTAATATTGTTCATCTGCTTTTCATGTTTTATCTCAACTTGGAGTACAAAGTGGTTCTGGATCATTATTGTGACTCCATCCCTCTTGAGGAGAGATTAAAAATCATTTCCAAAAAATGGGATAAATATGTTCAGCCATGTCCTGAATTATGATGCATGATTATAGTTTCCTAACTAGCATGTTACATAAAGGAAATAGGAGATACTTTCTAGTCCTTGTTGGGACCAAAACAACTCAATTTTTAAATTTCCTGGTTGATAAATTAAATGTTTTGTACATCATTTCATCAAAGTAGAAAAAAAATACTTATTGGATATCATGAATATTACCCAACATAATATTATCATGATATGTTAACTAATATATTAACTAATCCAAAACAAGATCTTCAACTTAAGATGTCTTTGTGAAAGTGGTGACAGCCTAGTATTCTATTGAGCTGAATAATAAAAATGGCAGATACAGCAAGAGAAAAATTCTTCCATTGTAGTAGAGAAAAAGTATTCCATTTACTGGTTGGATACAACTTGATACTTTCAAAAGATACTTTCAATGATGTCTGGTTGTACTTCTCATTTCCCATACCTCTGAAACCCTTGTTGGAAACTGTTAAATAACCCAAAATTACCATTAATTATTAATTGCTAACACAATTAACAAACAACATTTAATAATAGACAAAGGAAGATTAATGAAGATTTTTACTAATGTCCAATGTAAACCTGTAGTTGTGGGGGGAAGGAAAGGGAGGCAACCTAGTGTTTTAAAAAATATTTTAATAATTATTTCAATATAATTGGTTTCATTTGAAATCTTATCACTTTATATATTTAATGATAATAATCATTATAGTAATCATTAGCATTTGTATAGTGCTTTGAGATTTGCAAAGTTCTTTACAAATATTAACTCATTTTACTTGAAGTAGGACCATTATCGTCCCCACAAGAAGCTATGGCACGCGGTGGATAGAGCACCGGCCCTGAAGTCAGGAGGACCTGAGTTCAAATGCGGCCTCAGACCAAACACTTGACACATACTAGCTGTGTGACCTTGGGCAAGTCACTTAACCCCAATTGCCTCACTAAAAAAAAAACAACAACAAAAAAACCCACAAAAATCTAAGGCAAACAGAAGCATACAGAAGTTAAATTAATGACTCAGGGTAGTAGGTATATGAGACTGGATTCAAACTCAGAGTAAAATAAATAATATAATAAAAATAAAAATATTATTCTTATGAGATCCATAGACTTAACCTGTCTTGCAAAGGAGTCCATGACACCCACAAAAAGTTTAAGAACTCCAGCTAGCAAAATAATGTTGTTGTTACTGTCACTGTTATCATTGTCATTGTTGTTGTTCATTTACAGGCTACACCCAGACAAATGTTGGGGAGGCCCTGGCTGCAGTGCATGGCTCTGAATTCAGTCAAACAACTATTTGCCGATTTGAAAACCTGCAGCTCAGTTTTAAAAATGCTTGCAAACTAAAATCAATATTATCCAAATGGTTGGATGAAGCTGAGCAAGTAGGAGGTACCATAGCTACATTTCTGCAGTTTCTAGAGTTTTAAACATACCAATAATTTCTTTGCGGAAAGATTAATGATAAATAAAGAACTTTTCCCCTTCTTTAATGTTAAAAGAGATTTTAAAAATGGGCATTCTGCTATGTCAGATTCTCTCCTTAAAAAGAAAGAACTCAAATACAGAAATAAATGTTTTTAAGGGAAATAGCATTTAGCAATATATAAATAAACTGCTTGGAAGAAAAATATTAAAGATAAATGATAGTAGGTGAGGAGGTGAAATTGAAACTCACTGAGATAGTTTCTCTTCTACTTTGTAAGTGTAACATACAAATGTGATAATATATAAATCTGTTCTTAACTTGATATTAGTTGAAGCATTCCACAATGCAAATCTCCTAAGCAAAAACAGAGTTGCTTTTGGTTTATTATTAACTTGCTAAAATAACTCTTACACTAATGGTAAAAAGGATCATGAAGTGAGAGTAGGGAATGAAGGGGTAGAATTTGAGAATGTGTTTTAAATCTTAGAGCGATATGTAAATTACCAAAATAGAAAATAATCGTTGTAAAGTTTAATAATTTTATTCAATGTTAAATGAGCTATTTGGTACAGACACCATAATATTTAAAGAAAATATTATAAGGTTTAATTTTATAATGTTTTAAAGAAATTGAATGGCATAATTGAATGGCATTGTTCTCTCTGTGTGTATATTCTCCTTTCTTTGTTTTCCATAAATATAGCTTTATACAATGATAAAGTGGGGGCAAACGAACGGAAAAGGAAAAGGCGAACGACCATAAGGTAATTATCCATTTGAGACATTAAAAGTTGCCAACAGAACGCAGTAGTTTATTAAGGGGTAAAGTATATTTATTTGCCAAATGCGGCTACCCTCTGGACAAAAGCTATATATAGCCTTTAGATGAGGTGCTACCCTCACAAGAAGAAGAATCCTCTCAGGTTTTTCTTATTTAGCTTAGGCCTCAAAGGCTAACTTTCAGCACTTTTAGAAAGGTTTAACCTTACATGGTCATCTGACTAGAGAAAAGCATTTTTTTCCTCCAAAAGCCAACCAGGCAGGCAATAAACATTTATTAAACTGTGTGTAAAATACTGTGCTAAGCACAGGACACACAAAGAAACACAAAAGATAGGGCCTGCCCTTAAGTGGCTCACAGTCTAAAGGAGAAGCGGAAAAATGTGTTGGCTCCCAGAGCCTTAGCCCCAGGGGCTCAGATATTTTGGAACACAAAGTGGCCAATCAGCTAACTAGAGACCATAAGCACTTTGTCTCTGAACTCCTTCCTCCTACTGACAGAATACATATTCTTGCTCCAAAGTTTGAATTTATTTAGGGCTAGAAAATCTTCTTTAATTCCAGTCAATTTGTGATAGTCCATTTATGTTCCCAGCTAAACCATTTAGAAGAATACATGCCAACAAACTTCAAAGAATTATGTGGGTCTGATGTACTACAGTTGGTCTCAAGACTCCAAGATCCTCTAGTCTTCACAAGCAGATAAGAGCAATAATTTAAAACAAAACAAAACAAACAATAACAACAAAGAGACAAGGCTGTTTTAAGGTTATTGTTTATGCTTCAATTTCTCTTTTCTAAATTCTTGATTTTTACATTGAAGTACGACTGGCAACAAATATCTCATTCTTTGGGTTACCCTACACTCAGTGCATAGATTTAGAGTTGAAATGAGCTTTAGAGGTCACCTAGTTCAACCTCCTCCTTTTGCAAATGTGGAAACTGAGGCCCAGAGTATTTACATGTTTTTTCCAAGGTCACACAGGAGGAAGATCTAAGATACAAACACAGTTAAGAGAAGTGTTCCCGGGTAGGAATTTTTTCCTGTTTTGTGTTGCCCAAATCACTATATCTTCCAAATGCATTAGATTTGTATAAATGTTTGACCAAAAATTCAGTAGTCTCTAAATAAAGGGGCCTAGAAATTTATTCCCCTTGTGAAGAATGTAGTGCCCTCTCCTGGTACAAAAAAGGAAACCAGTGATCTGTAATCCCCTTGCTCTCTTGCTGGTAAAAGTCCATTTTTGGCTTTTAGATGAACATATAAAGAAGGGTTCTAGCATTCCAAATATATTCAAGTTCTTAAAAATCATTTTCAGATCCTTTTTAGGAATTCAGCACCAAAAGGGATACTTGGATCTGCCAATTGTCACTTAAATGATACAATTTTATTTTTTCCAGCATTGCTGCTAAGGAGGCTCTTGAAAGATATTTTGGAGGACAAAGTAAACCCTCTTCTCAGGAGATTATGCGGATGGCTGAGGGCCTGAATCTGGAGAAAGAAGTAGTGAGAGTTTGGTTTTGCAACAGAAGACAGAGAGAAAAAAGAGTGAAAACAAGTTTACACCAGAATTCATTTCCCTCTATTGTTAAGTAGTATCAGGAGTACAGATGAGATGTGCCATCTTAGAGAAATGGATCTCTCTATCATTCATTATCCCTGTCAAAATTTGGAAAGTAGCTATTTGGATTGCCTCTTCCCAAACATAATTGTGGAAAGTAAATTATTACATTCTCTAATTTATTTCTTTAAAATCATTCAAAACTTATTATAAAATTATATTTTCACTTAAAATATTTGTTCATAAGACATGAAACATTTTAAGCAAAAGATGGCTATTTATGGGAATAATGTGACATTCACAGGTGGAGAGGTTTGTTTCCATACAGTCTGCTTAGCATATCTTTACTTCTAAGCTTCTGAGGTATCAGATAAATAATTAAAGGGTGTCACCAACAAGGAAGAATGAGTTTTTTTTTCTAACTAGGATGTCAGTTACACTTCTATTATCAATTTTTGCAGTTTATTTGAATCAAAATTTTTGCACTTCCTTAAAGATTCAGTCGTGATGAGCAGTGAACAGTTAGGTTTCAAATTTCCTCAAATGTGTTAGAATTTTTGTATTAGCCAGGATGAAAGTCAATATTTTCATCTGTTAATACCCAAAATTAAGGCATAAAGTGTTAGTGTAACAACATCCAAGAACTCTAAGCAAACTCTGCTTTATGAATTTGCTAGTTATTCTTTCCAGACATTAAAATCTTTGGAGATTAACTATAGCACATTCATCCCATATGTCCATCTGAACATACAACTACTATTAGCTGTGGCTATATGCTTGTTTATTGTTATAACCCACCCTGTTACAAACCTAGCCTGTTCTTCAGATTTCATGTGAGATGGTACCCTCTCATTAAAAAAAAAAGGCCAATATTAGCAGCTTAGACTGTATTTTATTAGCAATGAAAAGGCTAGATTTGCCCAATGTTTTTCTTTCAACTCATAGGTGCATAGTTGAGTAGAACTTATTTAATTTTCAAGAATGAACTATTTGAAACTTGGAAATAGTGGCACACTGTGATGAAAAATAAATCCACAAAATAACATTTTGCTTTTTACATGTGTGGTGTGTTTGCCTGCGTTACTTTATATAAATGTATGTTTAAATATATATATATATATGTATATATATATACACATATATATATATATATTTTCTAAGTTGTAATTTAAGACTACTTACTAAATAAACCATATCTTCCACAGTCTCATGCTTTTTTAAGTCACTGCTAATAGATCAAATCCTGAAAGTACTAGCAATTGTCCTCAGGGGAAAGTAACTTGACAATTTTCTTTCATTTTTCTGTTCCTTAGACATAGTTCCTTAGGAGCAGGAACTATGGTTTATATTCCTTTGTATTCCCAGCGCTTAGCACAGTGCCTGACACATAGGCATTTAATAAATATTTGTGGTTTGGTCCTCCATGCCAATGTGATTGCCTCTGCTCTGTATGCTATCTGACACTCCCATGTGCTTTGGTTTTGTTTCATCATATAGGGACTCTCAAGAGTGTCAGTGCAGCTCTAGCACTAAGACTTTTGGGACACTAAACTAAAGTCAGATGAGCTAGATTCAACTCTTGAATTTTCCATTTACTACTTACGTGACTCTGGGTTAAGTCATAACCTGGTTACAAAATGGGGATAACACCCTCCTCACTTCACAAAACTGTTAGAATCAAATGAGAAAACTTAACTGAAAGTCCCTTGTAAATTGGAAAACTCAAAATTTCAATAGCTAGCAAAAGGGCAAGAGTGGTTTTGTTTTTGTCTTTGCATCCCAAATAGCCAGTAAAGTGTCTGTCACATAGAAAGTGCTTAATAAATTATTGATCAATTGAATTAAGCAAATGTAAGATGGGAATTATTATAAGCATTCAACCATTTAAATGTTCTAGTCTCTTTTGCTTTTGCATAAGGTATTGTGAATGTCTACGCAACAATTTGTCTGAAAAAGACCTGGGAGTTTAGGTAAACAGCAAGTTCAGTCTAAATCAACAGTGTGATATGATAGCTCAGACCTGCACAACTTGGCAGTAGGTAGGGAGCCAAAATTATAACAGGCCAAATGTCTCTGTCAGGCAGCAGATAAGTTAGACTAGTGACTGACTGACAATGATTGGTCGCCACGGCACATGTGACAAACAGGAGCATGCGGGATGGCAACCCTACATTTTTCTCTGACCACAGGACATATTTTGGTGGGCTGCAAGCGACCCGTGGGCCGTATATTGTCCAAGCCTATCGTAGCTGATAAAGTCAGTGTAATCTTAAACTCCATCACATAGTAGTGCCTAGGATTGTGAGATCATGTTATCACTCAGCCCTTGTCTTGCTGCATGTAAAATATTGGATCTAATTCTGGGCACCATATTTTAAGAGGATATTGATAAGCTGTAGCATGTTTAGAGAGGGCAATCAGGATGGTGAAAAGCCTCTAGTTTAGGGGAACACTTTTTTCCCTTTTCCCTGCTTTGAGAGTTTAAAAGCTGTTTTTTTCCTCTACTGTTTCTCTTAAGGGGAATTTCCTACATTATTACTCAGGCAATATAAATATTAAATTGTAATCTTTTTATTTTTTTAATTTCATTCTTTTTCAAAATTTTAGCTTGAATATAAAATGCCTTTAGCAACTGAATACTTTTAAGAAAGATTATTGAATATTGAATTAATTTTTGTTGGATAATTATATATAGATTCTGTTATTTATATATTTATACACACTATTGAATACTTAATTTAAATCTTTTTCTTGCTGGATTTTTTCTTTGCCATCAATTTTGATATGGAATTTTATTTTGAAGTATACTTTTATTTATGGTTTTTTATTTTATCTCTTATTTAAATCCAAGTGATTTTTGTTCTGAATATTATTTTATATTTGTCATTGAATTTAAAACAATGTTTTGAGATTTAGTTTCCATTGATAATCTCTCATACTCTATTGCATGTGAATAATAACACTTTCTATTTGATGATGCCAAAATGAATACTGTTATACAGTTGCCTATTTGATATACAAGTAGCATGCCTTTAGAATTATAGCTATTTCTCTGCATGTTTGCCTTGATGATAACCATTTGTTGGCACTTGTTATTGCTACAGATTTGTATGTGGTATTGTTGGCCAAATTACCTGGGTGAATAGTTCTTTGGTTATTGGTTGAATATTGCCATTATGCATTAGTCTTAGTTGTTTGGAAAGCATTGTGATATTTTTGAACTAGGAATCCATAAGAGTCTCCTGATTCTAGTAGTGGACCAAGAGATTAGAAACAGGGGCATTATAAGGACATTGAAAAGAAAGGTCAAAGAATTGGGAGAATGAAAAGTAATTGTTAGTAAGGTCAGGGCTAGAGAAATGATTCAACACTTTGTGAACTACCTGATCTGTTGAGTCATTCAAAGATTACCAGATACAATGACAGTAGATGATAATATTTTGGAATAGATCCATTTACCTTCTAAGTGTAAAAATTACTTAAGAGGACAGAGGCTTTAATAAGCAAAATGGGGTTGGAAGCAAAGAGAATAAAGGAAATAGTCAAACCATTAAAAAAAAAACTCACTTGTAAAATGGAATATACTAATTCCATTATAGAAGAAAGAAGAGTCACACTCTTAGCAAAACCCGAGTATAAATGTATTCTTCCGGAGAGATATTATAAGCCCAATCTGGCAATCATTTTAATACTCCATATTAAGTCTAGAATAAAAAAAAACAAAACTCCTTTGTTTGATGTTTAAGGATCTTCACAATCTACCCCCTTCCTACCTTTCTAATATTCTTATATTTTGCCCTCTTCTACCTATAATATTGGCCTACTTGCAGGTCCTAAAACATAAAACTCCATTTCCCATTTCTATGTCTTTGCACTAATTTGTCTCCATGTCTGTAATGCTTCATCCCCTCACTTCCATCTCTTAGTTTCTCTGACCTCTTTTAAAATTTAGCTCAGATCCTCTATGCCTTTTCTGTTTTCCCCCAGATCCTAAAACTTTCCCCTCTCATATTTCCCATTTACTCTATTTGTATCTACCTACTTGTCTCCTTGAGAAGGTAAGCAACTTGAAGGCAGAGATTCTTTTTCTTTTCCTTTGCTGACATGATGAAGTACCATGACTGATTGGTGGGTTTGGCAAATAGGTGAAACAAAGAAGGGATTGGTTCAAGAAAGAAAGGAGGCAGGGTGAATGTGGAGTTGGCAGTGAATTGGCAGTGAATTGTATCTAATATATGATGTTTGAATTTCCACCAGTCAATTGACTATCTGTATTCAAAAGTGGGCTGCTATTCCTTCTGAAGCCAAGCTAAAGGAACTCAAAGAATGATTCTTCACATTCTAGGTTTTTAGGGACAATGAAACATTCCTAATAGAAACAAAAGCAAGACTTCAGTTGGGGGGTGGGGGTGGGAAAGGGATCTGAGATGGAATAAGTCATCTTTGCCAAGAGACTGCAGAGCAGAAGTGTTACACACAGGAGAAAGGAGAAATGTATAATGAGAGCTTAAAAATATATTTGAGAGTCTTCCTGAAGATAAGAACGCTGGAAAGTTGAGGAGGAAGCAGCTACTTGTCTTTGAAGGAATACTGAAAAACACAGCTATCAACTGAGAAATCATTGAGTTAGGGTCAAAAGAAGACAAGAAAGGTAAGAGGAATTGTTGATTCCCTCCTCAGGTACTGAGAGCTATTTGTTGAACAAATAACTTAAAGGTCTATTGTTTTTCCAGGTTACATAATTCAAGATATGACAGTGATTTCCCAAGACTTACCAAAATGGATGATGTCTGTTGAGTATATGAGCACATATGATAAAGTTTTGGGTAAGAAAGACTGAAGACTCCAGGGGCACAGGTTGCATTTCCTCACTGTTGCCCAGCTGGAGCAAGGATTTTGAAGAGAAAAACTGATTTGAGAAGTGAATAGCTGGTTAAGGAGGTAGTGAATTAGATCTGCAGGGGGAAAGGGTGAGGGAAAAAAACAAGGAATGAGCATTTTACTAAGTACCTAGTACGTGCTAGGCACTTTGCTATGTGCTTCACAAATGTTGCCTTATCAGATTTTAACTTTTCGACCACTGCTTAATATATGACAGTTTCCCGGACAGAGATGGTGTATGTCTAACAAAAACTGCTAAGAATGTACTTGATGGGTGTCTTGTCAATCTAGTCACAAAGGCTTTAAACTAAAAGAGAATGAGGGAGAGAGAGTATATGTATATCCCCAAACTAGACTACATAGAAAGCAACAACATTGAAGGAACAGCAGTAGTTCAGACATCCCATACTTTTATACACAAATTTCTAAAATTCAGGTAACAAGCAAGAGGCCCCAACATAGGAAGGCAAATTTGACCTTTGTGAGTGTCACTGAGAATTAATGGAATGAAGCATAACTAGATAATGGTTGTAGATAGGTAAAATTTATTCAAAAGAAACAGGATGGATAAAATGATAGATAACATCATATATTAAGCATATCGATGTCAGGAAATCCAAGAGCCAGAGAGAATACACATAATAGAATATTTGGGTGAAGGTCAATAGGAGAAATGTGATTTTGTCATTGGAGTCATCGAGGTGATACGGTGGACAGAGTTTAGACCCAGAGTCAGAAAAACCTGAGTTCAAACTTTACTTCAAAAACTTGCCAAAGCCTGATTAAGTCACTTAACCTCTTCTGGTGCTAATTTTCCTTATCTGCAAAATGTGGGTGATGATGACTGATAATAAAAGCACTTACCTCCCTGGGCTTACATGGAGACAAAATATTTGTAAAGTGCTTTAAAAATCCTTAGAGTGCTATATAAATACTAGCTATTATTATTACTATTATTATTAGACCACCTGGACAAAGACAGGCCTGGCACAGTAGTGATGAGAGACTTCAATTATCCAGAAACCTTCTAGCATTCTACCAAAAGCAGAGCACCTGAGAACTTCTTGACTTAACTTAGTGATAACTCTGTACTTCCAAAGATTGAGGAACCAAAAAGGAAATTATATTCTGGACCTGATTTTGAGCAACAGAAGAAAGAATTAGTTGTTTGGATAAAAAGGATGGAATCCTCTGAGGGAAATGATCATTCCTACCAAGAATTTATGAAAGAGAGGTTATCTGGTCATAATCTGATAAGACCCTAGATTTTGGGAAATCTAGGTTTAGAGGAAAGTTTAGCAGGAGACATCATCCCAGAAGGGCTATTTAAAACTCCCAATGGAGAGGGAAAATAGGATTTGTCTAAACAGACCAACATGGATGCACCAGGAACTCACAAATCAATTTAAAATTTTAAGAAATGAACAGAAGATGGAAGCAAAACCAAATGACAAGATGAATGACAAGAACAGAAAAGTATGAATCTTACCTACCAATGGTCCTATAAGATAACATTGGGGGTGCTGGAGCTCTGAAGGAGCTAAGGGTGAAGAGGGGAGCAAAGGAAAAAAAAGATTTTTTAAAAAAAGCAATATTGAAAGGAAAATGGTGGATTGAAGAAGAGATGAACCATTGCTTGAGGTGGATATGATGATAACTGATGAGAGAAGGTTGAGCTGCTCATTTATTTTGTTTGTTTCCTGTTCTTAATAATGATTAATTCAAAAACACCAACCCTTTAACAACAAATTCTAGGATTTTGCCAAAAATTAAAGTTAAATTCACTAAGTAAAACGTAGGTCCTGTTATCTTTCCTTTTTGAAAATCAGGACAAGTTACTCTTTGTTCCTTAAGAACAAAGGATGTGTGAAAGAGTGGATAGTTTGGAAATGTCACCAGCCACGTTCACCTTATGTCATTTGAGCCTCACAATAGCCCTGTGAGGTAACTACTGCATTTGGGTCTGAACAAGTTTTATAGATAATGAGTACCTTAAGTCTTTTAATCTTAAATTTGGAAGAAGAGCTTTTGTTCCTATATAAAAGAACCTTAGTAACCAGCTGAATCCACACCTGTGATTTCTGTAACTTAGTCACAGAGGTTGCCTGGGGGCACTTAAAGATTATGTGATTTAGGGGCAGCTAGGTGGCGCAGTGGATGGAGCACCAGCCCTAAAGTCAGGAGGCCCTGAGTTCAAATCCGGCCTCAGACCAAACACTTGACGCTTACTAGCTGTGTGACCCTGGGCAAGTTACTTAACACCAATTGCCCAAAAAACAAACAAAAAGAAAAGATTATGTAACTTGTCATGGCCACACAAGCCAATATATCTGAGGCCCTCTAAGGCCAGCTCTCTATTTTTTGTGCTGTGCACATATGTGCTCTTGCAACACTTTTATATTTATGTGTATACACACATGTATATGTACCTTTACATATAGAAACAAAAACATACAAATATATGACTATCCACTACACACTGGAGCTCCCTCTCTACATGTTCATACCCACATATAAAATGTATGTATATACGTATGTATGTATATGTATTGTGTGTGTGTGTGTATACACATATATACAGCTTTATAACTGGAAAGACAACTCCTACTAGATTTAAGTCTGGGCCCTGATATATACTGGTGTGTAACCTTGTATAAGTTACCTAGTTTTTCAAATCATAATAGTAACTGCAACTCATCCTTTTCCCTAAAAATAATGATCGTCAAGCAACAATTCTATGATCAGCAGACATCAAACATTTACTGTGAAATATAAAGGAAAAAAATTACATCCAGGAATAAAACCTTTATTGGATTTTTTAAAACAAAATAATTTATAAAAATGAAGAGTCCCCAAAAAATAAATGAAAAAGAAGTAAACACAGTTAGCACTATTATTTACACTCAAGAGCACCAAAGAGTTTCAGGTTTTTTTCTTTCTTTTCCTTTTTTTTTCTTTTTTGTAATCCAGTAATCTCTAGATAGGCTTTTAATGTTCAGAGAAGCTATGTGAACTAAAGAATTCCCATTATCAAATCCTAAATCAAAGTGCAATTTTTTAATTATATAGATGTAGAGTCCAGTTTCCTGTTCTTGCCTATCAATTCTTATGGGGTATTTGTTCCCTCTTTTTTTGGTTTTGTTCAGGGTTTAATTCATCATTATAATAGTAAACAACTCCTACCATCCTCAATTTTCCAGATGACTTTACTCTGGTCTCTCTTAGTCTATAGTGATATATTCTTAGGGAAAAAGTATTAAATACGTTTTCTACCATGAAGTTATTTTAAAGAACAATACTAAATGAACACAAGGACTTAGAACCTATTTCTGTTCAATTTTTCCAATATATACACATTAAATACTACAGCATTTCTACCTTAAAAAAATACAGCATAGTATATTAATACACTTTTTTAGGCAACATTTTTCTGACAAGTTTATTTACAAAAACTTCAATTAGTTTTGCTTTAAAATTGCAATGTTTAACATTATCCTCTTAGTAGTAGTGCTTAACACGAGACACAATGGCATCTGGAAAGTAGCTTCAGTCTAAGGATGAATTCACCTCATAAGAATGTGGAAGGACAAGTAGGATTCATATAGAGAAAGGCACAATAGTTCTTTCAAGGATCAAAAAATTGTTACATTATTATTGTAATTAAAAAAAAATCAGTGCCCTTCACTGCTAATTTTGTAGAATTTTATAGCTGGAAGAGATCTTTTGCAGATCATCTTGTAAAGACCCTCTCATTTTACAGCTTGAAGAAACTGAGGTACTGAGAGGGCAGGTACCTTTTCCAAGGCTACACCCCTGGGTAGAGACAGGTCTAGAACTCAGGTCTCCTGACTACCAGTTCTGTGCACTAACTGGTCAAGTAAAGTGACAGGTCCCAGATAAGAAAACTGGAGAATTCTCAAACTAGATCTCAATTAAAGTTTTAAATGGATAATTCAAGTTTATCACTACTAATTTAAAGATCTGCACAATATTTTTGTGCTGCAAGTATTTAAGGCATGTGCCAAGAATGTTTTTAAAAGTTATGAACTTTACATATTGAAAGAGGGCTTTCTTTCAAATCATTTTAAATATAATTTGGTAATTGCAGTTGTTGTGGCCATGGTTCAAAATCAGTTTCAAAATACAAGTAGCAGATGCAGGTCTCATGTCATCTGAATGTACTGCAATTTTATGTGTTGGTGCTTAGTGCCATTTCTCTACATGGGGAGAAAGGATTTAGAATGCAAGTGTGATCTGGCACTTACCTAACAGAATCTTAGAATAGTATACCATGCAGGAAAGTGGTTTAGACATAATCATTCAAAGTATTTGGTAATTAAGATTCAAAATGTTTTCTCTTTTTGTAAATCATTCTTTGGCAAAAATTTAAAACAAGGTGTGAACTGAAACTTCATTGACTGTCTTTTTTGCAAAATAAATAAGTTTTGTAAAAGGAATCTACAGTGCCAGTTTTATACTGATTGTAAATCATTAATACATATTATAAATAAATTTCAGCTAATCTACTCCCAAAGCTTTAAGTTGTCGTTCAATCTCTTCATCAGAGATTGTAGATGCTTTTGATGTAGATGCAGATGGTAAGCCTCGGGCAGCTGATGGTGCTTTGGCCATCTATTTAAAACAAAAGACAAAGGAGAAAAATGACTATTATTAAAAATTTGACTGATGCCTAAAACAATATGAAGAGTTATGAAGTGAATTTTGAGAGACAAACTTCCAGATAGGAAAAATCAATTTATTAATTAGGCTGGCCAAAAATCAATAAATTGAGGTCAGGGATTTCTCAGTGATGAAAGACAGACAAGCAAAAGACAACCCTGATTGGCAGGCATTTAATGAGGAGGTGGGCTAAGAGCTTTCAATTCCTCCTGATTACTTCCTTGGAGGGGGTGCAGGGCAGCTGAAGAACGAGGCCTGCTCATGAGATTCATCAGCCTCCAGCAATCTCAGCAAGGAAAACTACACTCTATTCCAGCTCAGTTTCTCCTTTGTGAGGCAGGCTGCCTCAACTTTGATTAGAAATCAAGTATACAAGAGTCATTTCTAAACAGCATGGACTTAGTCAGCTTTTGTTTATGGGATAAATAGAGAGACCCAGACCAGGCCCTGGGGGCTGGAATGTTATCACATTACTTAGCCAGTGCTGGAAAGGGTTCTTCTACGTGAGCTAAAATAAAGAGTGGGGACTTTAAAGAGAAGGGAATATTACAAATTAATACATTAAAATTAATTATCCTCAGAAAGTTCATGTTATTTTTTGAGATAACTGCAAAATTACCTATATGGAACACAAAATTAAAAATTATATAAATCACAAAAATTTCCAGATAACATGAAATTTCCAGATAATATTAAGGGCAGCAGGTGGCAGAGTGGACAGAATGCTAGGCCTGGAACTGGGAAGTAAGTTTAAGTCTGGCCTCAGACACTTACTAGCTGCGTGATGCTGGAGGCTAGTCACTTAACCACGTTTGCCTCAGTTTCTGAATCTGTAAAATGACCTGGAGAAGGAAATGGCAAGCTACTCCAGTGTCTTTTCTAGTGTCTTTGCCAAGAAAACCCCAACTGGGGTCACAAAGAGTCAGACGTGACTGAAAAATGACTGAACAACAACAACAACAATGTCCATACCTTTCCAGAGATTTCAATTCCAATTTCATCAAGCACCTGGTTCACAATATCCTGGCTTTCTTCTTCATCATCAGATGCATCAAAAATGTCATCCAGTGTATCATTGACTTAGAAAAGGGGGGGGGGAAAGTTGTCATTCTGAATAGCTAGGTGTCCATATCAAATTACATTTAGAAAATAATCCAGTCCTAGCAATCTAAGTGAACTGTTAAACTCTGAATCCAAATCCAAAAGCCAGTGTAAATGTATTTTCAAAGGACTAAATTCAGAATAGTTGGTGTCCCTACCTATAAGTCCTTTCTTTCCCCTACTTATAATGCCCTTAAATATATGGCAATTATCTTTCTAGAACTTACGGTTTCAAAGTGACATTATTCTAAAAAATAATCAGTTACTTGGGAGAAAATATAGTAAGAGTAAAAAACAAATAAAGTTCTGGAAAATTTGAGAGATAATTAAATCCAACCTCACTAAATATCCTTTTTATGAATGAAAATGTAAATTATCTTATTTTGTGATTTGTTCTAATAATTATTAGAAACAGTTTTCTGATCTTGGTAAAATTGTTATGAAGTTTAATATTAAAATGCAAATTTAGCCAAGATCATATAAAATTTATTTTCTATTTGAAACTCAGACTTACAATAACTGCAATGATAATTAACAGAGATACAAAAAAAGCTTTCAGGAATGCTTCCTTGTTGAGCCAAGTCTTAAATTAATTCTAAGAAACTTCAAATCTTTTTAAAGATCTTGTTTGCCAAAGTCCGGACTAAAGGATAGTGTATGAGTTAAAACTAACCTTGCTGCTGATAAATCTGACTTATACTCTAATTTTTTTTATCTGAAGATGTGAATACAAATATTAACTCACAAGGCTGTTGGAAAAATTGAATGTATGAATGAATACACATGTATTTTTCAAAGGGATTTATAAATTAATAAAAATGTATTAAAGCAGCCTTTTTGGTGGGGATGAGAGAGCAAAGATACTTTCATAAAAATGAAATTAACAAGAGTGGTTATGAATTTTAAACAAATCAAGAGTTTTATATGATTCCTTCATTAGAGCTTAATGGAAAATTAATTCCTCTGATAAGGTCTGCTCACACCTGTGCCATCATTGAAAACTACATAAACATAATAGATATCCTATCATTAAATAAATTGACAATTCTGTAGTAATTAAAAATTCGCCAACCAAGTTGCACATGATAGGTAAAAATCAAATTACAATACACAAAGAGATTAAAGTGAGGCCTATATAAGGAACTTTGGAATTTTCAAAAGTATTTGTAATCCAGATTTAAAATCTTGCAGAAAAGAATGACATTTAGACACAGAACATTAGAAGAATGGGTGACTTAGTAGTCCTGATAATTAAACAGTTTTAGCAGTTCAGTTTAGTGAAATTAAACTAAGACTAGACATACTATATAGTACAGGAATATGGAATAACATCTTTTAATGCTGTTATTAAACTTCTGCAGATTTGTGTTTCACACGCTGCCAACATTAAAGTATAAAGTTACAATAAAATCTAGAGCTAGGTAACCTTTTTCATCAATATTCAGTTATGAGTATAATTTTTGGTTTTATTAAAAGTATTTGAGGTTGTTTAAAAGCCTGGAAAACTGACAACTGAAACCTGTAAATATCACTAACACTATAAATTATATTAAACTTACTCATTTCTTCAGTCATTTCCATTTTCATGTTTTCCTTCTGGAAATTCTGCATTGTTTGTAACGTCTTTTGTGGATCCATCTTCTTGTTAACTGCCTGCATTGTCTTCAATGAGATAGGATGCATGTTATTTGCATAATTATGAAAATTCTACATGAAAATAAGTACAGTAAACTGCCACTTGTTACGAAGATAAATTCATAAAACCTTCCAAAACTGCACACTGGGGTTTTTAAGAATGCTAACAAAATGAAAGACTTCAATATGGAAACCATCTGTTTAGCAACTACTTTAAGGAGATCAGAATGTGAGCAATTTCACCTGAAAGGTAGTCAAAGGCATACTGGCAAACAAGGAAATGCACCTAACCCTGATAATTCTGACCTGTAAAAGTGAGTAAACACTGAATTTTTCTTAGAAACAAGATTTACATTCTTAGGCTTAATATGCACATAGTAAGTCTGGCAAACTTTAGGTTAGTTGAAATATCAATGTGTTAGATTTCTTTAAAATTCAATCTATGGGGGACAGCTAGGTGGCGCAGTGGATAGAGGACCGGCCCTGAAGTCAGGAGGACCTGAGTTCAAATTCCGCCTCAGACCAAACACTTGACACTTACTAACTGTGTGACCCTGAGCAAGTCACTTAACCCCAATTGCCTAAAAAAAAAAAATTCAATCTATGTTATGTATGTTGGACACAGACACAGACACACACACACAAATCTTGCTTCAATTTAGCTAATATTTAATAAGTGTCTACTACATGGAAGTACCATGCAGTTCACATACTATCTTCTTCACTTTGGTCTTCAGCCTTGAATAGACTGAGAGGTGATATACATGCTATTTTTCTAAAGGTTTACAATTAAAATTCCAAGAAAAATTTGCATGGCAAGACCTTCCTGAGGACAGATTCTGAATTTTTTCTTTTACAGGCTACTAGTGCCAGAGAAAAGAAGAAATACCAGCTTTGTTTCTCTTCATTTCAAATTGTCTGTCTTTTCATATATGTATGACATTTTTTCTTATTCATTCTGGTTAACCACCAAAGGGACAAAGACCTTACAGACCTTTTCACTAATTCTCTTAAAATGTGTGTGTACGTTGTGGCTAAATCATGTAAAATGTCCACCAAACAGTAATTAGGAATTAGAAAATTGTATTGTCTTTCATCTTTCTTAATTAATTGATCAATTAATAATCAAAATATTGAGTCTAGCAAGATGTTATATCTACTTAGGTTCAAAAACCAAAAATTCTTCATTGAAATGTCTTAACTAAAATGCTTTCCACGTCCCAACCTTCACTCATAAGTGACTTATACTTGAATGCCCTTCTACTGTTTCCCACTAGTATAAATCCTCCCCACTGTTCCAGACTCAGATTCTCTATGAAAGTTTCCATTCCACATATACAGCATTTACTGTTTGTACCAATCACTGGCACATCATATACTGTCTAGTTATTCACAATCTCTTCCACGTTCTAACTCCCCAAATGGACTGCAAACACATCAAGAACATGAAATTTAGCTTCTATTTCTTTCTGTCTCCTACAGAACTTATTACAAAGGCTTGGTAAATGGTAGTAATTTAATAAGCATTAAATGACTGAAAGACTAATAGTGCTTTAAGATGAAGCACCTAATGAAGACACCTGATAGTTGAGCAAGCAATATACAAATGAACACAAGTACTGCAATCTATTCAAAAGCTGAGAGGCATCCCTAAAGACACATTCTTCAGTCTTATTTATAGAAAAAAATTTGTGAGAAGAGTAATTAATAAAAGGAAATCAAAATTTCTGCTCACAATTCATTGAAATAACATCAACCATTTTCTGTCAAATTCAGTAAAAGAACACCAGCTTTTTAAAGTTAATTATGTATGTGACAGATGCCTACTTTGATAATTTCAGGGTTCAATGATTTCAGTACTGTGGGTAATCTTTCCACCACAGGCAGAATATAGAGAACTTGGCCAAGAGCCTTTGAGAGCTTCTGTGTCCAAATCTCATTCTGCCACCAGTCAGGTTATCAGCCTCTTTGAACTTAACTAGGTTGATCATTAGACAAGAGATAGGTAGTATATCATTGGCCTCATATTCAAAACATTTCTAGTTTGGAAAGACCTTCCGGAGATTTTATTCAAGCCTTCAAAAACTCAGAGTCACACTTCCACACCACTATGAGTCACTACAGTAGGATTCTAGTAGAAGGAAGGTATCTAATTTCGAGAAAATGGAAATACCTTGAATCTAAACTAAAATGTGACATGAAAGGAATGCTAACTATTTAAACTTTTGCATGTGTGTAACAAAAAAGATCTGGAAGTAATAATCTAATCTATTATGAATAATTTTCCTAATACATATTCATGCTTAATAGACACTTTATATTGATTATATACAGAACTTAAGAACATCCATATGAAAAGACAAACTTACTTTTGCAGTAGTTGACATGGCTCCAGCCATCTTCATCTGGGAGTTCATTACTTTAGTTTGTGTAGACATAGAAGTGACTTTCGAACTTACAGCAAAAGTTCTAGTTTTCTGTTTCCTCAGTTGCACAAGCTGTTTAGCTAAAACCCTGCAGGCTTCTTTGTTACCAATCTTGGCCATTTTCTTAATTTCTAATTCCTATATTTTATAAAAAAAAAAAAGGAGATAGTTTTCATATAGTATGCATGGAGAATTTATTTACACACAACATGCCCAATTTTCAATGTAACAGGATGGAGCGAGCTTTCAAAGCTATGGAAGAATATCATTAGTCTCACTCTATTACTTTACACGAAAGAACAAAAATGCTCGTTTTCACAAAGGCAAGCAGAGGAGTTCTTCAGAGCAACACTTGTACAGATTCATCCCTGTGCATACAATTCAGCAGGAGTAATTATTCTGAGATAGGGTATAACTAATGATTGCATGATATTCTAATAATATATTCATATTGCATGATACTTTCCTATGGGATTAGGACTTGAAAGTGGGAGAGAGAGAAAAAGGAGGTAATTTCTAGTATTATTGCTACAAGAATAAAGGAAACTCCTTATCTCTACAAGATATTCACCTTTTCCCCTAAGACCCAGGCCCCTTCCCCTCCTTTGGGGAGATAAGCTATCCACATGCTGAAGTGAGCCTTCAGGGAGGGCTGACTTGGCTGAAGACTGGAGGGTGAGTTGTTATTGCTTGTCCTTCCTCTGGAAGAGGAACACAACTTCAGGAAGGTGATGTCATGACTTGCAAGTGAAACTGGATTTAAGTGAGGCAGGGCTGTGTAAAGTCACCAGCCTCCTCTCTCCTCTGGAGCAGTGCAGATCCAGTGGCAAGACACAGATCACGACTACTGGAAATGGCTCTGGGTGCAGGTATAACCCTTCCATAATAAGTCAGACTCCAGGATTCCAATGACTGTCTTTGGCACATCATTCTACTACTATTAATGAAAACAGCATGATAATCTACTTTCCTGCAGCCTGACTCACAATTCCTGTGACTTGGAGTTGAAAGAAGCCTAGGCTGAAGTTCTCTTCCCAAGTCGCCACTCCACATTCTCTCATATACATTCACGTCAGCATCATTGCTCCCTTTTCTCTAATTCCATTCAGTCTTCCACTGCGCCCTCTGGAACTCCCATTCTATTGTTAACAAATAGCCCTTCATATTAAGGACTCTGCCTTTTCCCTGGATAAAGTGCTTTGTATATATTTTATATTTAATTTTGTAGGCACATGTTGTCTCACCCCAGGAAGAAAAAGGATTGTTTTGTTTGTCTTTGTTCCCTTAAAGGCTAATATAGAGGTGTTTAAGAGATGCTTATTGAATTGGCCAAAGAAAAAAGAACTCAGTGAATTATATTAACCTAATTTAAGTAAAAAACATTTTGACCACCCTTATTCCTCTGAAATGTTTATAATGTGTTATTCTAAAGATATCTTTATTTCATCCAAATATTTATTAATATGAATATAGGAATCAAATTGCTCATCAGGCTTTCTTTTGAATGTACACAATTTATTATCGCCCAAATTATCACCCAAATAGGTTTTTAGGACAAGATTCTATGAGCTAAGCAAATTTTTTTCTGTTGAGTAGATGAAAAGTTCATTTTAAATGTTTTTCATTAATTTGCCCTTATTAACTAAATAGTAAACTATGTAAGCTTACCGAGAAACTCACCTATCTTTCCAGTCTCAAGGGACAATACTTCCCCTCCAAGAAGAACAATCTAGACAAACTAGCCTTAGCTCTTCACACAAAATACTCTTATCTCCTCTCTCCATGCTCTTTAACTGGCTTAGAACACAAGTCCTCCTCATCTCCACCTCATAGAATCTTTCTTGAAGTACAAAACTTTTCATGATTCCAATGGCTAGTGTCCTCCCTTACTTATCTAAGTTGCATCTAACTACTTTGTAATTAATATCTTTATATTCATTCTGCTTATATTTACATATATCTTTGTTGTTACCAGTTAGACTGTTACTCCCCTGTGAGTAGGAATTATTTAATTTTTTGCATTTAGCACAGTAGCTGGTATACAGCAGGTACTTAAATCCTCACTGACTGACTGAAAGGTATTCTTATAGGTGTAGGGAGAAAACAAAACAAACAAAAAAATCCCCAAAAACATGGCATTTAGGGAGAGATGATTAACAGGAGAATCAAGGAAAGACTTCTCGTAGCACTTGGCTTGTGAGCTAAACCTTGAAAGCTAGGAATTCTAAGAGGCATATGTGAGATAGGAGTACATTCCAGTCATAGGGCAGTTTGAGCAAAGGCACAGAAATGAAAAATGGAACATCATATTTAGGGAACTGCAAGAAGGCTAGAACAGAGGCTATATAAATGGCAGTAATGTGCAACAAGCCTAGAAAGGTAGGCTGGAGCCACACTAAGAAGGAATTTAAATGTCAAGATGGAGAGTTTATATTTTATCAGAGTCAATAAGAGTTGATAAAGGCTTTTAAGTAGAGGAGTCATATGATTAGACTTGTGTCTTAGTAAGATTATTTTGCAGTTGTGTGGAGGACAGACTGGAAGAAAAAAAGACTGCAAGACAAGAGACTGCTACAACAGTCCACATAAGAGATAATGAGGGCCTGAATTAGGTAGGATAGTGGTCACATAAGTGGAGAAAAGGTAATGGATAAAGACAGAATACAATAATGACCTCTTTGTTTGAGATGTCTACAGAACCATTTACGTGGAAAAGACCAACATGTAATTGCTGATTAAGAACTGAAATTTAGGTGAGGGATGAAGGTTGGATATATAGATCTGAATGACACCTGAACAGTAATGATAACTTGACCTATAGCAACTGATAAAATCAGCAAGAGATAGAAGATAGAAAGAGAAAAGAGAGTCCAGGAGGGGATTTTGGGATATATCCATGGTTAGCAGGCAGGAATGGACTCAGCAAAGGACACTGAGAAGGAGCATAAAGAGAACCAGGAGAGAATATATACATGAAAATTCAGGGTTATGGTTCGTTAAGGCATAAAGTCAAGAGAACAATGTACAATTGATTTGAAAGCTGAGGACAAGGTACAAGTGAACTAGTTAACAATAGAGTTGAAGTTATGAAGGGAAGAAAATGAGGCTAAGACTAAGGCGCTGACTTGGGAGAACAATGAGGATAGAACAACTAAAGGTCATAGTGAAAATTAAGACGAGGATTAAACAAGGTTAGGCAGAGAATGATAGAAGGCTAGAAGGTTAAGGTCAAATAGAGAAATTTTAGAATTCTTGATTAAGGAGTTAGGTCATTTAGAGCTGAGAATGAGACTAAAGGATTTATCAAACCTATATGACTAAGCTAGAGTAAAGATATAGATAATGGGGGATTAAGAAGGTGGAAAAGCTGAGTGGCCAGAGTACTTGAGGGGATATCAACATGTATATTGGGGCCACCAAATACAAGGGCAGGGGTTGGAGAGACAGGAAGACTTTGAGCCAGGTACTGAATTCCTTGAAAAAGGAGAAGGAATGATCTTATGCTACCAGTACTTGGATAGGCTGATTGTCTGGATGGATCCTAAAAGGAGGGGTAGCTGAGAGATGCTGGCAGAACAGAGTCTGGAAGTAGCAGTGAGGAGTATAGAGTATGTCCTTGCCCAGGGAGTCAGGGTCCATGAGAAGGGGTGATTCAAGACTGTAGAAACTGTCTAGAGATGCATTGTCTTCTTGGGTGGGGGTAGGGAACTAGAGGGGGAGTTGGAATTCCATGAATGAAAGAAGATAGAAGTAACATAAGAGGAAAACATCTATGATGAAGAGAAATTTGTTAATAAAAGGGGCTCCAGAAAGTATAACTGAAGGGGAAAAGGAGCCAGACAAGGATTTGGGAAGTTTTTACTCTGTGGAGGCACAGTAAAGACCTTGAACCACAGATCGATAACTCCAAGGTCCTGTAAGATAGGTACAGGAGACTGACTTTGAGATTGCTTCCTTCTGACAGTGACGAAAACTGCCTTTTTTTCTCCTTCATCTAAGACAATGAATGGCTCCTCTGTAAGAAAGTTCATGATATTCTAGAGTCCCAAATACAAGTTTGTTATATTCTAAATTAGAGAGTCTCAAAAATGGGAATGTGTTTGATATTCCATATGTAGAACACAGAATCTTAATAAAAGGGTAAAAAGGGGGGTGGGGATGGGAAGTATAAGGGAAAGGAGAAATAAGCAAGAAAATAATCAGGAAGGCCTTGATATGACTAAGAAATGATGCTCCATCACTTGCCACCTGCCACCCCCTCTTACTAGTTAGCTAATTATCCCAATGCTAATTTCCAAATTTCTCTGAAAAGTTAAACTGAAATTTAATGTTCTACTTACCAGCTGTTTTTCCTGTTTTTCCAATGCTGCTCGATCTCTCATTATAGCCCTCTGTGTACCTCGTAACTCTCGATTCTGCTCCTTTATTACATCTAAGAGAACAACAACAAAAAAATTCCCAAATTTATGGATTGTAAAGTCTTCTTCAATACTATTGAAAATATCAAGCCCAAAGATACTAATAAAAAACTGCAATTTATAAGCTGTATATATTTTCTTTCTCCTATTGTCCTTATAATAATAAAACTGGTCAGGCTTCAAACTTGAACTCTAAATGTAAAAGAAATAAAGAAGACTGAAAATATATAACAGAAGTTTGCAAATTTTTATTTTAATAGACAAACATAAATTTATATATTTCACCACAAAATTATACCTGGTTTCCTTGGAGAAGCTATAAAAGTGTATAAGTATAAAAACATTTTGTTCAGTCTTCAAAAAAAACCAAACCAAAACCAAAACAAACCCAAATACCATATAAGTCTGAATTTATGTCATTCTTTAATACATAGGTCAAAAATTCAGAAGGCTTTACCACAGATGGAGCACAAATAGTCCCTATGAGCATTTGGGAGGGAGATATCTAAATTTGTGCATCTCATGTTTCTTTCGAGCAACTGAAATTCAGGTTTGCTCATACAGCATGGCACCTACCAAAGAATGGCATAAATTCAGACTTCAGAGTGTCCTTGTATTGCTTCTTCTGACCACCATGAGAGTGCCTGCCTTGTGTGAGCTCTCCATAAAACAATCTTTTAGGCAAGCAAAGATTTGACATGCAAGCAACGTGGCCAGCCCATTGGAGTTGCACTCTCTGCAGTTTAGCTTGAGAAAGGATCTCAGTGTCTTGTACCTCATCTTGCCAGGTGATCTTCAGAATCTTTCTAAGACAATTTAAATAAAGTGGTTCAGTTTTCTGGCATGGTGCTGATAGGCTGTCTAGTTTTCACAGGTATACAACAATGAGGTTAGCACAAAACGATCCTGTAGACCTTCAGTTTGCTAGGCAGCCTAATAATACCTCTTTTCTCCCACACATTTTTTGGGAGCCTCTCAAATGCTGAGCTAGTTCTGGCAATGTGTGTGTCGACCTCATTATCCCTGGAAACTATACTGTAACTATATTGTAAATGAACTTATCCACAGCATTCAAGATTTCTCCATGTGTTGTAACTGACAGTTCCACACATAGATGGTGCAGTGCTGGCTGGTGGAAAACCTGTTTTCTTAGTGTTTAATTGTTAGGCCAAAATTAGCACAAGCGGCAGAGAATCAATCCGTACTTTGTTGCATTTCAGCCTCAGAGGCTTCAGTGATTACACAATCATCTATGAACAAAGAGTAGCACACTAACTCTCCCTTCACTTTAGTGTTGCCTTGTAGCCTTTTATTAATTCCCCAAAAGATAAATTAATTTATAGTTTTTACATTTAATTTCTATAAACTCATATAATTTATAGAAATTAAATTAATTCCCCAATGGATAGCATGACTCCATCCCTTCTTAATCTCCCAATGCTAGTGGTACTGAAATGCTCTCCCCCCCAATCCCCACTTCCAAAGAAACTTCACTCAAGCCAAGCTGTCCCCTACACCAATGTCCTACTCCAGATCTTTTCAACCCTTTGGTTGTGAACTTTAGAACACTCCCTCTATAATTAACAAGTTCCTTTTATTTCAGACATCTCCCTCTTTGCTTTTACCATCTTCTGGCACTGAGATTGAGCTTTCCCCCATCCCTGGTGACACTGCATCCCTGGCTATCCTTCTAAGTACTGGTTGCAACTGCTTTCTTACCTACCTCCCCTTCCCCTTACCTTGTTAGCTGGGTAGGGCAATCTGTACACTCCTTGCTCCTCATGGCTACAAGACGCTATCTACTGCTATCATTTAGCAAATGTTCCCTCCAAATGTCTTACTCAAACCAGTTCCTGGGGGCCATTATCTACTGACCCACAGAACATTCTCCTTCCTTTCTCACTAAATTCAACCCCTGGCTCCCACTCTCGTTCTCCACCCCAATTACTCTCTTCATACTAAAATACTGCAACATACATACTGATGTTCCCTCCAATATTCCTCTTGATCAGTCTACTCAGCTCACATGACCTACTCCTCTATTTTGTTTCAACAACTCCACCCTTCTCAATCTCATCCCCTTGGTGAATTAGTTCAAGTCTACATTATACTCTCCTATCAAATTCCTTGCTCCCTAGCCCTTTTGCTGATCACACCTGGTTAAACATCAAGCTCAGGTTCCTCCCATGGATCCAGAGTTAACTCATAAGGGACTGGTCCATTATAAATTTATGTTGTCTAATCTCAACTAGGCCCTCCCCATAGCAAAGCAATCCTAATACTCATTTCTGATCAGTATTCTATTACATTTAACAGAGTATATGTCCAAACTTTCTCCTTTGTGGCCTCTAATAGCACTTCTTCTCATCCTGTCTAAAGAAGAGTGCCTCATATTTCACTAAAAAAATGTTACCATGCAACACAAACTCCATTTTCATGCCTTCTCATCTCACATTCTCCTGGCATCATTCCCTACTATCTCCTCCTTTCCAGTCTAATGAAAAGGTGGCCAGTTCTCCTTACCAAGACCAACTCCTGAATATTTAGTTTTGTTTCCAACCCCTACACTCTTCTCTTGCATATTTTTCTTCACAATCATCTTCATTCTTTCTCTGATCTTCAATCTTCCTATCTACTGGTTTCTTCCTTGATGTCTACTTTATAAACAAAGCCAAAGTCTCTCTCATCCTTAAAAAAAAAACCCACTAGATTATACCAGCCTCATTAACTACCATCCTATAAATCTTGACTTGCTAGCTAAACTCTGAAAAAGCCATTTTTCAGACAATGAAAGACAGTGTCTCCTTATACTTACCTCTCATTCTCTTCTAAATCCTTTGCAGCCTGCCTTCTTACCTCACTTCATCTTTCAATTTAAACTGCTTTCTCCAAAATCCTTAATTATCAAATGTGATAGCCTTTTCTAAGTCTTTAGTATTAACCCCCTCAGAGCACTTAATACTGATGAGTACCTTGTCCTTCTAGATACTCTTCTGAGTTTCTGTGATACTGCTATTTTCCGGTTTTCCACAAATACCTGCCTGTCTGACTTCTCCTAAGTCTCCTTTGCTGGATCTCCATACAAGTCATGCTCACTGTGGGTGTCCTCATACGCTCCCCAAGGGCTCTGTCCTGGGTCCTCTTCTCTATATCTCTGCAACTTCCACTCTATGCAGGTGACTGTCAATCCTTATATATCTAGACTTAGGGTCTCTTTTGACCTCCACTTCTGCATCATTAACTTCTTATTAGACCTTTCAAGCTGGATGTCTAGAAGTCATCTAAAACTTGACATGTCCAGAACAGAACTCATTATTCCACCCAACCCCCTTCAAAAGCCATCTCTCTTCTAAACTTCCTCATTACTGTCAAGGGCACTGCTATCCTTTCGGTCAATAGGTTCACAATTTTGGTAGCATCCTCAACTTGTCACTTTTGCGCACCCCACATTATCTAATCAGTTGTCAAATTTTGTCATCTTTTTCTCTCCTTTATCTCTTAAATATATCCCCTTCTTACCACTCACACAGTCATCACCCTAGTATAGGCCTTATCAATTCTTGGCTGGACTATTACAATAGATTTCTAATTGTTCTTACTGCCTCCAGTCTCTCTGTATTCCAATCCTAACCATGTGACTCTCTTTCCACCCTCACTCAAAAAATTCCAGTGGCTCCCTATTACCTCTAGGATCAAATATAAACTCCTTGCTGGGCATTTACAGCTCATCACAATCTGGCCCTTCCCATCTTTTTGGTATCCTTACACATTACTTCCCTCTAAATATTTTATGGTTGAGTCATACTGGCTTACTTGATGTCCATTTCCTGTGACAGTGCCTTAATACTGACTGTCTATCACGCCTGGAATGTTCTCCCTGCTTACCTCATCTCTCAGGTCCCTGGAGTTCCTTCAAGACTCAGTTCAAATACCACCTTCTCCAAGAAGACTTTTCCTGGTCATGTTTTCTCCTTGGGAGATTACCTTTCAACTACTCTACATGTATCATGTATATATTTCCATTTATGTATATGATGATTTCCTCAATAGAATGTAAGTTCCTTGAGGGCAAAAGTCTTTTACTTCTTTTTATTCTAGTTTCTAGTATAGTGCCTAGAACATAGTAAATCTTTAATACTTATTGACTAATAGTTGCTGCATCATTTCTTGTAGAAGTAAATTGGAGAATTCTACCCTAGAAGGACAATTTTGAAAATCAGACACAATAGAGATTTTCTTTTTTTGTTTAGAGAATAACAGGTTGACTCTAGACAAGAGTAATATTGAAGAATCATGAAGGTAGGGAACAAGGACAGAGAAAAAACTGAAAATCATGCCATTTGAGATCAGCTGAAGAAAGTGGGAAGAGTTTGCCTGGAAAAGTCACCCAAAACTACCTCATATGCAAACCATAATAGGTATTTCCAAATGAAATCTTAGATATTATGTCTTCCTGCCTCTAATCTCTCCTTACTCCAAATCATCCTATACATTGCTGCCTAAATAATGAACTTTAAAGACAGATCTATCTAAGTGACTTCCCTACTCAACCAGTGGATTCCTACCGCTTGAAGGATAAAATATAAACCACTCAGTTGAGCTTTTAAGGCTTCACACAACTTGACTCCAATCTATCTTTCCAACCTCACTGGCCATTTTCACCCTCTCACACTCAGCAATCCAGTCAAACTAGTTTTCTCTGTGCTACTCACACATCACTCATCTCGAGACTCTAGGTCTTTATACTGGCAACACCTCATCCCTGAAATTCCCTCTTTACTTCAGCTTCAGTCTCTCTCTTCCTTTAAGGCACCATCTTCTGTATGATACCTTTTCTGACTAGCTAAAGAATGGAAGAATGGATTTTAAATTTAAAAGAGTATTGGCAGCTCACAGTGGGTTCCACTGCTCATCTGGCTGGCTGTCAAGTACTGTCTTTGAGTAGCAAAAATGGGAGACTTGGGTCTGCTCTGGCTAAGGAACTATATTAAATAAACCTTCATTAAAAGCTATTGCCATAACCAGTATACTTGTTGGGGCCCTTTTTAGATGGGAGTTACTTATTATTTCTTTCCTCTTTCCTCCAGTCATGTGAATGCTGTGAGGATTTTATTTTGACCCTTTAAAAATGTTTTGTTCTATACAATATTGAAAAAAGTTACTAGTATAACAATATATACACACACATATATTCTTTGTATGTATTTCTATGTGCTGTTGTTGAGTCATTTTTCTGTCATGTCTGACTCTTCACGACCCCATATTTGTATTTATGAAGTTCGTATTTATGCTATACTTACTTCAATATGTACTTGCTGTGTTGCCCATTAGAATGTAAAACTCCTTGCAAGTAGGCAGTTTCATTCTTTGTACTTGTATCTCTTGTTGTAAACAATGCCTGGCACATAGCAGGTGCTTTATTAAGTAACTGTTGATTTAAGTATGAGTAGCAGCATTGTACAAAGGTTAGAAAGCTGGCCATGGAACCAACAAGACCTGGATTCAAACTAGCCCCACACACTATAGCACTATGACTCTGGGCAAGTCATTTAACCACTCAGTGCTCTAGACAATTTTTTTTTTCCTTTCCTTTCCTTTTTTTTACACGAGGCAACTGGGGGTAAGTGACTTGCCTAGGGTCACACAGCTAATAAGTGTCAAGTGTCTGGTCTGAGACTGAATTTGAGCTCAGGTCTTTCTGACTCCGAGGCTGGAGCTCTATCCACTTTGCCATCTAGCTAGACAACTTTCTAAGACTATAAACTGCAAGGATGTTCTGGATTTTCTTACTACCAATGAAATCACAGGGTCAGTTCCAGTTCTTTATAGGAATAAATGCTCAATGGAGAAGAGAATGGTGTACCAAAGATAAACAGTACTTCAAGATCCTAAGACACATAGATAGCTATATAAAAATGTTCTTGTAATTTGTCAATTATGTCAGTATGACAAAAGCTAATGGCATCTTGAGTTACAGGTTCATACTCAGCTACAAAAATAGGTCATCATTAGTTCACTGAAGGAAAAGAAAGACATGTCTATAAACAAATCTCTTCTCTCCCTACCCCACCAAGTCTTTAAATTTACTTTCCATTTTAAAAACAAAACAAAACAAAAACAGTATTTGGTATTGTGCTATTCTCATTATTTGCATGATGGCTTATTCATTTTAATATTAATAATGAATTAAACACAAATTATAATCGCAGAAAATGCTATAATTTTGTTTAATTTGCAATGACATTATTCTTTAATGATCTATTACATAACATATCTAGCAACTGAAAGAAAAAAAAAGATTCAAATTCTTTCTAGACATGTAAACTATATCACCTTGTGCCTATCAAGATTTCATTACAGCTGAAATAGGTGAAAAGAAAACATGCAACAAAAGGCTCTTATGATCAATAATCATTGGATCATAAGGATTTATCTAGGAGAAATGCATAAAGCAGCATTAAAAAGCATAATATATAGCCTCATTATTCCTTAGCCAGAATACTTCTGTCATCTCTCTGGGAAAGGAAAAAAACAAACTTACTTTAAACAAAACCAGGAAGAAAAACATTAAAAAAGCACTACATCAAATAATGAAAGAAAAAAGGATGGTGTTAAGAGTTGATATAACTTGAGGTGATTATTCAGGAAACCATCTTGTAACTATCCTAGTAGTTATCTGAAATAAGTAAGTATGTTGAGGTAGATGATTTTAAACTTAAAATGCTATTCTAACCACAAGTTTTAAATTTATTTACATATAAGAACAAAACAGTACCACACAAACATCACTAAAACCTTTTCATCGATAGATAATAGAATAAACAGTATTTGCTGAAGAATAATGAATTCAGTGACAATGGAATATACGTTTCCTCAGTGCACAACCTTATTGTCACTTGCTTATCCTCACTGGCTATTCCCCCCTTTTCTTCTTGATGAGACTCCCTATAAGCTATCAAAAGAGCTGTGCAGCTCAGCAATGTAGATAATAAATTGATATTTAAGTACCCTTCAATAATTAGCATACAAAAACTATGTTAAAATGTCCAACTCTTTATAAGAGTATAACCTATTAAGGTTATAACCATACAGGTAATAAATATGATGGATACTATCTGCTGAAAATACTAAAAATTTCACTCATTTCTTATCTTTATCTTTTTATCTTTATTGTGTATAAATTCTTAAATATCCATAAGCCAAACAAATCAGAAACCTTAAATATATTTTTTCTTACAGTATTGCACAATAACTGATGTCCAGAATTAGAGGCATTCACTAAAAGATTCTGAAGTGCCTTATTAGAGGAAGATTACACTAAAATCAGTAGTTTTAACATAGGATAATTAATGTATTCTAATTTTTTAAAGCTGACAACTAATAACGAATGTATATTTCAGTTAACCAAAAATTAGTAAAGAAAAATACTGCAATCATTCTGAATACATGGTTAAGAAATAAATGAATGGTAGAATTATATCTCAGTGGTGAGAAATCATGATTCTGCTAGCATTTGAACAAACAAAACAAGAAGATACATTACCATACGAGAATAAAAGAATTATTTCCAAGTCTGGACAGAACATTCTGTTTGTGCCAACCACTGTCTAAATACCATTGCTTCTTTTGTAGTGAAGCTGATTAGACACCTTACAAAGAAGTGATTCTTGGTTCTACTACAACAGCATGTAAAAGAATAAACTTATTACATATTTCAAAATGTTCTTATAGTTCTGGCATAATGCCAGGACGGTAGTTATCTATAAAAAGCTTTTTAAACAAGGTAATTTCTTAAATGGAGGGATTAAGAAAACATTGTTCATTAAGCCTCAAAAATGTATTTAAGAACATGATAATACCTTAAAAACCACTATCTTTTACAATTTGTGCATCCATCAAGGAGGTCTTCGCAAGTAACAGGTGCTGAATAATTGTTAAATTTCACAGAATTAAGCAGGTAACTATCAATTTTTCTCCCAGACTTAAAGGTAAAAAAAATGTTTAACAATTTAAAACTTGGTTTGTTGTTAATAATCAATTAAATTTCAAGCAGTAATTCATAAATATTATATGAAATACAAATATAGGCAAGAATAAGTAGACAAAGTGTACATATGTGTTCGTTTTTTCCTATGTTAACCACTTGAAATACTAATATGTTGTTTTTTTTTAAACCTCTTTAAAACTTTCAAGGAAGTATGACTAGGAATGCTTTATCTTCTTTTTCTGTCATTAGCAAATGGTAATAAAACCATAATCAAATTTACTTTGATGCCTCTTACAAATATGGGAGGATATAATAAAGTGGACAAAGCTATTACTTTCAGGGGATCCAAATTTTAAGAATCCACTAAGTAACTCAGACTGCTCTTAAGCACACTCTATACTCTCTCGTCTCTCGTACTTCCTGTACTGATTTCCTGAAGCAGTTCGGCCCAAAGGTCAGGAGAAAACAGACCCAACACAAATGCACAAATAAGTAGAATTCATACAGCAGGTGGTACGTATTCTAAATACATAACAATAATATATGTATATATATATATAATATGTATATATAATATGTACATATAATATATATACACACACACGATCATTTATTAAGTGGCTACTATGTGTAAGCACTGTACACATAAGACATACATAGCGATATACTGATACGTGTAATTATATACATATAAATTTGGACTTGACCAATGTATGAATTTCTTTTCCTTGAGTAGGCTTATCTGTTACAATAGTTTATTTTTTTTCTTTTTTTTTCCCGGTGGGGGAGGAGGTAGAGGGAGAGAAAATTAAACGTTTATTTTTTTTTAATTAAGGGAAATCATAAAATCTAAAGTGAGTCCCACGCTCTCCTCCACAGACACACACAAACCCAGGGGTGACTATCCTCAAGTGGGAGGCTGCCCAGGACCACCACGGCCAGGGATGGGGAGTCACTTGTGGCGGCGCTAGTCCCGCCTCCAGCGCAGGAGCAGGAAGTGCCGGCGGCCCCCCACCCGTCCACTCCCCCAGGGGCAGCCGGGATACAGGCGGACCAAGAGCTGCCCTCGCACCCAACCCCGCGCCCCTAAACTTACCATCTACCGTCTTCTTCTTGAAAAGACAGGCCATGATCACAGACCCCCGCCCCTGCGCGGCGGGCTGGGCTAGGGCAGAAGAGAAGCCCGGGGAACCTTGGAATGGAACGGACCGGCTGCGCGGGGAGAGGAGCCACGGGTACCCCGGACCGCCAGGAGGGTGGTGCGGGGTCTTCGCCGGCTGGCCAGCGGCTGTCGCCTAGCAGGGAGCTCAGGTGACCAGGAAAGAAGCAAACAGACTTTTTTTTGAAGAAGTCTGTCTCCCCGCCCCGGCGCCTGCGCGTTCAAGCTGCGGAGCCTGCGCAGGGGAGAGGCTGACGTTGAATCCGCCCAGACGCTGCCCTTCCTTCTTCCAGTCCCGATCCTCCTTTCCCCAGCCCTGCTGCGACCCCGGGACTGCGCAGAGCCTGCGGGCTTGGCTGGATGGCGCTGCGTGGCGCTGCGGGGAGCCTCAGATGCCAGGGAGGCTGGGCAGGGAGAGAGGGCGCTGCTGCTGTGCACGCGCGCTGCCCGTGTCTGCCTTTGCTGGCTCCTGGTGTGCTGAGACCCGAGTGAAGCTAGAAATGTGTTCCGTGGACTGCTCGGGAAGCGGGCGGGGGTCCTGGAATCACCGGGGGTCAGGTATTCTCTCTGCCTCTGTGACACACACACACTCCCCCACACCCCCCCCACACACCCCCTCACACACATATGGTTCCTTCCAAGGGAGGCTGCTTGGCTGCTTGGTCCACTCGCCAGTGTACCCCTCCTAGAACGGCCTCAGTAGCCGGCCTAGGCCAGGTGAAAAGGCCACGGGAACTTTCTCCCAGGTAACTTAAAGAACACAGAGGAAGCCTAGGAGATGTATTATTCTTGTATCCCAGAGTATCTCCATTTTGATGTGTTTGTGTGACCCAGATTGCTTTTTTTTCCTGCCTTCTGTAAAAGACACATTTGAACCCCTACTTAAGAAGTGGCACATTGCGGTGGGGGGGGGAGGGAGGAGTAAGGACTCTAGAATCAGAGGTTCAAATCCTGCCTCTGCTACTTAATCCCTCTGTTGACCTGGGAAAGTCATTAAACACATGGGGCCTTGGTTGCCAGATGTGTAAGGGGGGGAGGTGTTAGATTCAACAGAGAGATTATTTGTAACTCATTTTGTAACCCTTTAAGCACTGTATAAATGCCAGCTTAAAACAACAACAATAAAAAACGAAAAACTCCACCTATTATTTTAGGTACTGTTTTAAAGTGCTTATGATGTGCCAGGCACGACGAAATGCATCATAATAATACATGAATAATAAAGGCTAATTTTTATATGTCGCTTAAAATATATTATTTCTTGATCCTAAAAACAACCCTATGAGATAGTCGCTATTATGGTCCCCTGCTGACTGCGAAGAAACAGAGACGTTTCTTCTTGTGGGGGAGCTCACAGGAGAGTACTATAAATCTGGAGGACTGTATGGTTCCCTCGTGGTAGACAGAAGCGTTACAGGAGAGACAAGGAGTTATTTTGACTGCTTTTGTGCTCAACTGTTTTCCCCTCTGATCAAAATAAATCATCTCTTGTATTTGAAAAAAAAAGAAAAGAAAAACACAGAGACATTATTAAGTGACTTGCCCCAGGGTCACAAATGTCTGAGGCAAGACTGGAACCCAGGTCTTCCTGGCATTGATTTTAGCACTCTAGTAACTAAAACATGGCATCTTGAAATCTCTGAATGGCTTTTAATTCTGTAATAAGAAAAATGTAATATTTACTTTGAGTGGACCTTAACTTATTGTTATGCTACTCAACAATGACCACTTATCCACTGCATGGGTAACCTATTAAAGAGAAAAGAAAGCTTTCATATCATAGAAAGGCAGAAAAATAATACATCATTTAAAAATCTTTATCAACATAAAAGGGAAACCTTTGAATCAGATATTTACATTTTAATCATTTTATTAATGTTGCTTTCTTACTTACAATCATTCTTGTTTGAAAAAATTTTGAAAATGTTAGCTCTAATGTAATATCTCAGATAATTTCACCCATGGATATGTGAGTACTGATGTGAAAGGCACTCCATTTGTGGTGTCAGTAACATCAGGTACCTCTGGATTTATAAATCATGTCTCACAGATCTGTTTTTAAGTATTTGAGGGAAATTGAAGTTCTCTACCCTACTTTTTCCTTTTGTCCTAATAAGACAGGAAAGGCTAGATAATATGGCCCACAGGGCCTCCCATAATACTACTACCACTGAGAATTGTCAATCAATCTGTTCATAGAAAAGTTTCTTATGATGACTTATAGCAGAATATAATGTATAATGGCTTTTCTTTCATGTTCTAACTTGTGTGTATGTGTGTGTGTGTGTGTGTGTAGTGGGACTATGTGAGGGGGAAAAATACTGGACTAGGGTTAGCTTATTGTGCATGGGCAGAGATAGCACACTTGTCTTCAGAGGGGTAAGAGTCAAGAAGCTATTGCACGTGTACTCATCCCAGCTGTAGTCACTCTTGTTTTATGGCTTCTATAGACACCCCCCACTGATTCTAATGTATTGGTTGGGAAGGTGCCAATACACTCAGTGGCATCCAGATGTAAGACCCACACAAAGTACACACAACAGGAGCAAAAAGGGCTCCATCATTCACAATAAGTTGTAAAATTAAAAGTATGGATTCAATTTAAGTCTAAAACCTTAATAAGTATGAGATTTCCAAGGCTGAAATTCATATAGACTCAAGTATATGTGGGTTTTGGGAAACCACGGTGTCATAAAGTAGACTATAATGTTGATTTACTTGTGAGCAGTTTTGCCATATGCAAACTTACAGAGGTATATTAATCTTTAGAAATAAAAGAAAATTGAATGCTTCTAATATAAAGAAATTACTGTGGCTGTATTTTGTACCTAGTATATGTTCTAGTATAGCCTAGTGTTCATTTGAGAAAATCTAGGAAATACTGAGTATGGAAGCATGGTAGAGAGCTTTTTAGTGAAGAGGATAGAGATAGACACAAACAGTATTTATCATAGGAATATGACAAACCACCCTAAACCTAATCAACTATAGACCAGTGAGCTTTATTTTGATTTCTAGTGGAATTCTAGAATATATTGTATATGAGAGCAGTGGGGTAGTTGTAATGACTTCAGTAGCTTCTTTGTTTAGCAGGGTTGTTGTTGTGTTTGTCCTTCCGTTCTTGAAGAGAACCAAATGAAGTAATATAGAGGGAGAAGAGAAGAGGGCCCAGGACAGAACCCTGTGAGACACCTACAGTTAGAGGATGTGACCTAAATCAGGATCCAGCAAAAGAGACTGAGAAGATATGGAGTGATAGGTAGAAGAGCCAGTAGAGGATGATATACTGAAAACCTAGAGAGAATATGAAAGAGAAGAAAATCAGCAGTGTCGAAGTCTGCAGAAAGGTCCAGAAAAATGAGGATTAAGAAAAACTCATTGGAGTTGGCTATTAAGAGATCATTGGTAACTTGAAGAGAGTAATTTTGGTGGGATGTTGAGGTTGGAAGATTGAGTTAAAGGGGTTGAGAAGAGACTGAGATGAGAGAAAGTGGAGGCTCCTGTTGTGGACAGCCATATCAGCTAGGTTATCAATCCCACATGAATCTCTCCTCCCCGTACTTCTTCCACTAACATGAATCAGCACCAGTCCCTAAGTTCAGATTCCACTTTCCCTTCCCCTAATACTTGGACTTGCTCGACACAGATAAGAACCCTGTAAAACCCTAGCAGAATTTACTGGTTTGGGGAGAGAGGCCACATTAAAGTGCTCAATTTCATTCAGACCCCATCAGATTACCCTGTGTCCAGCGTCCCTGTTCACCCCCCTTTGTGAATATTTCCTCTCAATAAAGCTAACTTGTTTTACTGTCTTGTTATAAACTCCATGTTTCCTTACACTGGGTTTTTGGTATTCCCAACCTTCTTAAGTCTGCATTAAGACAGCAGTAAACATCTAGGAAAGGAAGTATTGATTACAAGAAAGTATAAATGAGGTGGTTCAGTGGATAGACCACTAGGCTTGGAATCAGGAAGACTCAATCTTCATAAGTTCAAATCCTACCTCAGACACTTACTAGCTGTATGACCCTGGGGTTTCCTCATTTGTAAAATGAACTGGAGAAGGAAATGGCAAACCACTCCAGGATCTCTGCCAGAATTAGAAGCATTCACTAAAGAACTCTGAAGTGCCATATTAGAGGAAGATTACAATAAAACCAGTAGTTAAACATCAAGCATAATTAATGTATTCTAATCCCCAAATTCTAATAACCCAAAAGGGGGGTTATGAAGAAGAGTCAGACATGACTGAAATGCCTAAACCACAACAAAAATTATCAAGAACATGCTGACTCACTAAGCATTTTTTACATTGATGAAATATCATCTGCATTGTTGGAGAGAATGTATACATTGACAGGATCACACATAGATGTATTTGAAAATACTAAACTGATGGACCAAAGGATTACTTTAGATACCATTTGCCTAGGTCTTTAGCAAAGTATTTGACAAAATCTCTCATAATATTCTTATGTGAAAGATGAGGAGGGAAAAATGTGGGTTAGCCAATGGTAAATATAGTTGGATTTGAAACTGTTTGACTGACTAAACCCAGTTATCATTGATTTCATATTAACTTGGACAGTTGTCTCTAATGAGTATCACAGGCACAAAAATCTGGAAGGTATAGCTGATGCGCTGAGTCAGAATCCCCAAAGATTTTGACAGTCTGGAATACTCTGCAGAATCTAACAAGATCTGGGGATTGTTACAAACTCATTATAAGTCAACAGTGTGATGGGGTAGTCAAAACAAAACAAAAAATCCAAAAATCTATCTTGCGCTGCACTATGATAGGTGTAATATACCCAACCAGGGAGATGATAGGCTCATTAAACTCTGCCACAGTCAGACCACATGTGGAATATGGTGTTCAGTTCTGGAGTCAGTTTTACAAAAGCCATTGATAAGCTGCATCCAGGGTGGGGTGACCAGGATAGTGGAAGGTCTTGGTGGGAAGCATACAAGAATTGGTTGGAAAAATTGGAGATATTTAGACTGGAGAAGAGAAGATTTAGATGAGTTATAATAGCTATCTTCAAGTATCTGAATCATAGGAATATGACAAACCACCCTAAGCCTATACACCAGTGAGGGCTGTCATAGGGAAAAAGGATTAGACTTGTTTTACTTGGCCCCACAATATATAAGTAGACAAAGTGAAAAGCCACTAAAGTTTTTGAGTTATATGACCAGAACTGTGTTATAGGAAGATTTCTTT